CCCTCCATCGAAAAGCAATGCATTTTGCCCATATACTTTTGGAAAATCGCAAAAAATAAGATCTGTGTTTAACACAGAGTTGTGACCCTTACACGTTTTGTCTAGCAAGATAATCTTTACAAGTTAATCCAAAATGTATACATTTTTAAAGCCTATATAAAGTTTTTAAAAAACGCAAGCAGACACAATAAAGTTTAAAAAACACAAGCAGGTTATAACTGTGTGTTCTATGTCATAGATCAAAACGTGAAAATATTTAGAGGTTTTGTTCACCACAGACCTTGTTTCAGGCGATTTAGCAAAAAACCGGGAGTGCTAAAATGCTAACTCAATTCCGCGTTTTGGCCTACAGAGTGACGTCGGAACTTCGGCACTCTATAAATGGACATCTACTGGTCATTCAGATGTTTTATTTGTTAGCCTATTTGATGTTGTATATGTGTTGTACTCACAGTTTAATGTTGCAGAGGTCTTTTTCATTACTATTCAGAGGCTCAAATCTCATCAAATTGAAAGTCAACACAAAATGTAATTCAAACATAATGGTGTAGTTCATCTAGCAGCCTCTGTATAGAGCGCCATCTAGTGTTCAAAATAAGACATCACATCAGAAACAATAATCTCCTTTAAAGTGATACTCCACCCAAAAATGAAATTTCTGTCCTCATTTAGGCTACTCACCCTCAAGTTGTTGCAAACCTGTGTGAGTTTCTCTCTTCTGCTGAACACAAAGGAAGATATTTTGAAGAATGATTGGAACCAAACAGTTGATGGACCCCATTGACTTCCATAGTAGAAAAAAAAATACTATGGGAATCAATGGTGCCGTACAACTGTTTGCTTCCAATCGTCCTTCAGTTCCAACTAAAGAGTGCAACGGGGCTGGAAAACCCAGTTGATTCCACTAGAGGTTGGTTATGTGCAATTTAGCAATTTATTTACTGTCGGATTGATCTCAAAATACTGAAGTGTATTTTAACATTCCTAACTACATTACACTTACTAATGGCAGAAACACTGAAGCTCTTTATAACTCTGATGATCTGTAGTTTGTGATTCTGGTGTGTGTGTGATGGTCAGAGATCCAGTCTGATGATCCAACTTCAGTCTTTCACTCTCAGACAAACATGTCTCATGATCTTAATGCACATTCAACACACACCCTAATGTCTAAGCATCACAGGACAATCTCTAGAATTTGATAGTGTTACATTTAACTAAATTGATATAAAATTATTCATTTTTTAAAACAAAAGAATAAATACTAAACTTGTGAATGGCAGTGTTAAATATAATCGTGTTTCGAACGTTTTCCTGTCTCTGTGTAAAACAGTTCCTCATCAGGTTTATGTAGATTAAAGTTCAAAGCAGTTCATACAGAAGCAGGACCGGAAGAAACTCTTTACCAACACACTCTCACACACTAAATGTCTGCTCTCTCATGCACAAGATGATTGTCCACCCAACTGATCAAACCACATCGCTAAAGAAAAAGAAAACCCTGCAAGATGAACGTCAGTAAAACTGACACAATAAGATCAGAACATTTATCACTTTGCAATTGTTTTTTCATAAGTGATAAGTGATAATCACAAGAGTTATACTTTTGGCCATGTAACAGAGTCACAACTATACTTTTTCAAAGTTGTTAAATGATAAACATAAATAATATTTCACACATTAAGAACAGTTAATAACATCCAGATGAAGTTCAACATTATGGAAATAGTGAAACTAGGCGGGTCAAACTGTGTTGTGGGAGGATACAAACACAATCACATATAGACTGAGTGTTTCCAGCAGATAGTTTCATCACACGCTGACCTACTGCAGATATGTTTAACATGTTTTTCACATTCGTTTTATTCTGTTTGTGCTGGTGCCATTTGATTGGTAAGTCATAAACACATTTTTATGGTTTCATTGCTTTTTTTTTCATTTCAGAGTAATACAGTGTCTGCTATGCTAGGAAAAAAGGTACAAAAAGCTGTCAGGTACAGTAATATAATCATTTAGGTATAATATATACCTTTAAGATACTAATAAGCATCCTTTAGGGATTAATAAGTGAAAGGGGCTCTTTGCAGTCACAGGTTTTGTACCTTTTTTTCTGACAGTATCCGTTCAGATTAGATTATTTTCATCAGCCGTTATGTGTGAAATTAATCATAAATATTGTGAAATCTACGGACTTTGAATTTTGTCTTTGTTCAGAATTGTAACTGAAATATTCAGATCTGGGAAGATAAAATAATTGCCTCCATTTATTTTTATTTTTTTAAATACATCTAGACCAGTGGCGGCTGGTGAAAATTATTGTAGGGGGGGCTGAATAAGAGGGGGGTCTGGGGGTTCCCCCCCAGAAAATTTTGAAATTAGTAGATGTGATTTCCTGCATTCTGGTGCATTTTAGGCCTTAGGCCATGCCCTTACCTATACCAATAAAATAACTTAAACCAGTCAATACCAATGGTCAAATAATACAATAATAATAATAACAACAGTTTGACAGTTAATGATAATGAACAAGTTGCATGTTTATTATGCTCTGTGTGCTGACAGAAAAAGTGCAAACGCATAATATTGATAAATTATAATATAATAATAATTATAATACCTATAGGTAATACAAAAAAATAATAGGTAATACAACAATCTAGTTTAATCAACCCCCAGCTGTAGACTACATATTTTTGACAAATTGACAATTGGATAATGGATAACAATGTGTTGATACTAGAGAAAGAGAGAGAGAAAAGGCTCTGAAAGAGAGGGTGGGACAACATTCTTGATTGTAACACCCAAGTATGAGAAGAAAGTTGATTTTAACTAGTATGAAACACAGTAATCTATCTCAGAACTTAAAAACATCAAAAACAAAGCAAACACAGAGGTATTAATATTCCTATAACTATTTTAATATCAAATGTGTGTGAAACAGTGTTTATGTGTGTGTGAGTGAGTGAGTGAGTGAGTGAGTGAGTGACAGAGCGACTAACTTTACATTATTTCCACTCGACGTCACTGGCGCTGCCATTCTTCTCTCATCTGAGGTAAAAAAATGTCCCGTCACGTGGTGCGCGTGCACAGTGCACTCCCCTAATCTGATACTGTGGGCGATATTTTCAGCGCCCCCAAACCATAAAATTTGACGGCGCTGATTGGCGAAATATAAACTTTTTTGCATAGCAACCGGCGAACCATTGGCTTAAATTCCAGAACTGTGGGGCTGAGCGAACTGGCGCCCTGACAAGACAGCCTATTGGCTATACTACTACACCAACATGATAAAAGTAACGAAAGTGAATGCAAATATCATTCTGGTGAGTTCAAAACACTTTTCAAAGTAAAACCATTATTAGCATATAATTAACAAAGATTATTTTTCAAAATGATAAATTATAATATATATTAAAAAAACAGACAGACAGGTCGGAGGGAGGGCGGCGCCCCAGCGCCCTCTATGGGCGAGCCGCCCCTGATCTAGACATTTCATAAAAATGCATTAGTCAAAATGCGCTAGTCTTTTTTTATTTAAAATAAAGTATTGAAATATCCAACACAATACAATTGTACAGTACTTTAAATTTTGTGTAATTATTTACATTTATTTTGAATAAATTATGTAACCAGATTTGATTTAACATAGATTAAATATTAAGGATCTGCTGCACCATATGTATTACACTTTCATTTATATTAAATCACAATTACACACTTACATTAAAACCATCATTTTGATCCAGGTTTTACTTAAAATATATTTTCATTACACAAGCTGTTTTCTCTCTCTGCTTAATTCTCAGATATTTTACACATTTATTTCCTTTATCAAGAGCTGCTGATATAAAAGATTAGTCTCTGGTAGTCAAAAAGGAAATTGAATAATAACATTGTCGATGTTTAATTATAATGGTGGACGAAATGAACCATAAATGAAAGTTTTATTCACAGATTAATTTCTAATCCCTGATTTGTTAATCAGTTTATTAGTTAATTAGTTTAGCATTAAGTGATGCAACAAACTGTCTGTTCATAATTCTCACTTTTTAGTTTTGTGTTTCTGCTGATAGTCTGAATGTGCTCAACTTTACATGTAAAAGATAAAATCTTCAGCTGATTTCAGGCTTTTGTAAACCATCAGAAACATTAATCTGTGATAATCTGTGTGTTCATCAGGTGTGTTTGGTGATTCAGTGTCAGTGATGGAGGGAGATTCTGTTACTCTAAACACTGATCTTACTGAAATACATGAAGATGAAGATATACAGTGGTTTTTTGGAGATGAAAACTCTGTGATAGCCAAAATTAAAAAGAAGAAGCAAATCTTCTCCACATATGATGATGGTCCTGATGGGAGATTCAGAGACAGACTGAAGCTGGACGATCAAACTGGATCTCTGACCATCACACACACCACAACTGAACACACTGGAGTTTATAGACTAGAGATAACTGGACTGAAACTGACATCAAAAACATTCAGTGTTTCAGTCTATGGTGAGTAGAGATCATCTGTCCAAACGTTCACATATTCTATTATTTTACTGAAACTACTAAGATTGTTATAATATATAGGCTAACTGTTATTTACTAAACATTCACTTCACATTTTTAATTAAACGCATTAAACCACATATTTTTATTCTCTCATGTTTCTCAGCTCGTCTGCCTGTTCCTGACATCATCAGTAACTCTTCACGATGTTCTTCAAATTGTTCATTGGTGTGTTCATCATCAGTGCTGAGTGTGTGTGATGCGACTCTGTCCTGGTACGCAGGAATGAGTGTATTGTCCAGCATCAGTGTGTGTGATCTCAGCATCAGTCTCTCTCTACCTCTGGAGGTGGAATATCAGGATAAAAACACCTACAGCTGTGTGCTGAACAATCCCATCAGCAACCAGACCACACATCTGGACATCAACACACTCTGCAGACACACATGTGCAGGTACACCACCACTCATCATATTAGTTGATATTAACGTTTATTGACTGACCTGATCTCAGTTTGATGTTTTTATTCCTCAGACTCGGTCCACTGTTGTGGTTCTACTGAAGCTGTGATCCGATTGGTCCTCTCTGCTCTAGTGGGCGTGGCTACTGTCATTCTTCTGGTTTATGACATCAGATCCAGAAGAGCTGAACAAGATCAAGCACATATTCAATAACAAGATCAAGCACACATGCAAACAAACAGCAGAAGAACGTCATTGATTCACACTTTCATTCTCAGATTAACATGCATGAGTCTCTAGACCTTCAACAACTTTACAAACCACATCCTGATTCATACACTGCATTCATATATCCAAGAGATCATTACACATTTTCACAAACCCTTAAAGCTCTGATGAAGATCATCAATGGGAAATTAATTATATTATTTTAATTAAAAACATTGCATTGATTTACAGACAATATTTACAGTTTAAATACACTGGGATTATTATAATAATATCAACGTCTTTGGTTTTGCATGCAGGACAAATCAAACCTGCAGTAAGTCTTTCACCATCGTGAGATTGTACTCAATAAACCTCTAGAAATGTCTTTAGTCAGATCATAAACAACAGAAAAAGAAAACTGTGTAAAATTACTGCATGCATGTTGACATTTACACCTGTAATAATAAAGCACCTCAGTGGAAACTGAGTACATGAATGTATAAAATGTGTGTTTTTTTCTAACGTAATATAAAACTATTCATTTCTAAAATAAAGGATAATAACTTTAACAAGCTAAATTATTGAATGGCAGTGTTGTGTGATCATTGTGTGTGTATTGCTTTTCTCCCTCAGTTTCTCAACATGTTTGTGTAGATTAAAAATCAGGACAGGAAGACGCTCTTCACCTACAAACTAAACACACACACACACACACACCAGCTCTGATGCCCATTTTCTCACCTAAGATGTGTGTGTCCACCAACAGATCAAACAACATTTCTGAAGAAAACCCACCGCAGCAGTTTCAGTCTGACTCGAACATCAATAAAACTGCAGATCACACACTTTTAACTCTCTACATTTTCCCTACATGTATATATGATTAAAATTGAGAACTGAATAAATAAACAACAATTTTAAAATAACTAGTTTTTATTTTACCATGAATAGTAATTAATCCAATATTCAGACAATATTCTTCTATTTTTAAATATTTAACACAGTCAGGAAAGTGAAATTTGAATGCATCATTTTAAATCTATTAAAACAATTATAAAACTAAAGTTGGAATAATTCAGTTTCAATCGGCTTTGGAAAGACGAGGATCTGCTCATAATGTGGAACAGTAAATAACAACGAGATTCACTCACAGTATCTACATCATTCATTCCTGCCGCAGTGCATGCTGGGAAATTAAAAAAAATTATAATTTGTGTGTGTGCATGTGTTTGTGTGTGTGTGTGTGTGTTATCATAAACAACAGAAAAAGAAAACTGTGTGTGTGTAATAGGAGGGTCACACTCTGGTGAGGGAGGACTTGCTCAGACGACACATTACATCTGTTGTGTTTGTAGGTGTGTGTGTGTGTGTGTGTTAATTAGGTCAGACTCTGTCGAGTGAGGACTTGCTCAGACGCCACATTACATCTGTTGTGTTTGTTTAGATCAGTTTTGCTCGTGTTCTCTTTCATAGGTTCACTCAACGCTGCGGTCGAGTTCGCTCATGATTATTTGTGCCCCAGCCCGGGAGCACGTGATTCTGTTTCTTTCGGGCTGGAGGACGTCATCTTTACCGCGGCTTCCGACTCCGAGGATTTCGGGCCTGCTCTCGTCGATGACGTTATCCCGCCTAGCGGCCAGGAAACGCGGCCTAACGCGGCCTACTCTGAGCTCGTGGATGTGCTTTCGCGCGCCACGGAGAAACTCGCGATCGACTGGCCTGACGAGCCCCGCGAATCGCAGTCCTCCAAACTCGACGAGAGGTTTTTCAGTGGCCCCAATTCTAGGCCCCAACGGAGAAAATTGCCGTTTTTCAACGATCTGTATCGGGAGATTTCCAGATCCTGGAAGCAGCCTTTCTCTTCGCGTCTCACTAATGCGTCAGCTGCTGATTTCACCAACCTCGTGGGTTCTGTGGAACAGGGCTACTCTGCCATTCCGGCGATCGAGGATACTTTGGCCAGCCATCTTGCTCCATCGTCGGCGCCATCTTGGAGGGCACGTCCTCTCCTTCCATCGAAGGCATGTAGAACCTCTTCCTCTCTCATCGGGAAATCCTACATAGCGGCTGGTCAGGCAGGCATGACCCTTCACACTATGGCCATCCTTCAGGCCTACCAGGCCGATATCCTTAAAGAGATGGATGAGGGTAGTGGTGTCACTCCTGAGGCTGTGAAGGATCTGCGTAAGGCCACGGATTTGGCCTTGAGGGCCACCAAACATACCGCACGTGCGGTGGGCCGCTCTATGGCTGGCGCGGTTGCTGCGGAACGCCACTTATGGCTCAACCTCACTGAAATTCGCGATAGAGATAAGGTTTTCCTCCTCGACGCCCCTATCTCTCAGTCAGGTCTGTTTGGGGAGGCGGTCAATACAGTGGTCGAGAAATTCCGTTCCTCCAAGTCTCAATCCGCCGCTTTTAAGCAGTTCATGCCCAGGAGAGTTAGGGAATCCCCCGCTCCCTCCCCTGCCCGAAGACCTAGAGAACGTTTTTCTCAGGGAGCGGAGTCCTCTTTCAGGAGGAGTGACCCAGCGCGTCCCCCACCTCCCACGGTTTGGGGAGCCAGCGGTCGCCCGTTCCCCCGTCAGCGACCTCATAAACGTGTGCAGCTGAAGCGATCCGACAAGCCGCCCGCTCCAGCTGCCTCGTCCCGCTCCTGACCCGTTGGTCGGGAATAGGAGAGCTCCTCCACAGGCACGAGGTTGGGACAGACCACGCAAGCGTTTCTGTCCACCTCCAACCAGCTCTCCTTTTCTTACCCTGTCTCCTTCGCCACCCTGGGTGTTTCGAAGAGCAGGCCATATTTCACCGCTTCTAGGCAGCCCGGTGCGAGAGGAAGGAGACACCATGGGTTTTCTCCCCTCTCCCCCGACACTCTCTTTGACTGCCGGTCACGTCCTCAGAAACGCTCTTCATTTTTCTCTGGAGCAGGCAGGCCCGGTCACCCAGACCTCAGCATTAGCACCTCTCATCGCGTGTCAGGATGCCAAGGGCTCTCCTGCACGGCCAACCTTGCAACTCCACGACCTTCAGCACGACACCCTCACTCAGGTATGTCATATGCATTGCAACACCCCTCTTCCTCTTTCACATTTCTTTCCAGAATGGGAGCGGTTACAAGGGGTATCGCCGTGGATTCTTCGCACAGTTCGGTTCGGCTACACTCTCCAGTTTTGCCGCAACCCCCCATCGGTTCAACGGGATTTTTCCTACTGTAGTCAACAGCGCCACTCAGGCTTCTGTGCTACAGCGGGAAATTTCTTCCCTCCTTCTCAAAGGGGCTATAGAGGAGGTTCCTGCGGAGGAAACCGAACAAGGCTTCTACAGCCGTTATTTCCTGGTTCCGAAGAAAGGCGGCGGCTTGCGTCCCATTCTAGACCTCCGCAGACTAAATTTCGCCCTCTTCAGGGGGAAATTCAAGATGTTGACGTTGAAAGCCATCATCTCTCAGATTTGACCAGGAGATTGGTTCGTGACAATAGACCTCAAGGATGCCTATTTTCACATCCAGGTCGTGCGGCGTCACAGAAAGTTCCTCAGGTTCGCCTTTGGAGGGAGGGCATTCCAGTACAAGGTCCTCCCCTTTGGCCTTGCCCTGGCAGCGAGAACGTTCACGAAATGCGTGGATGCAGCACTGGCCCCCTTGCGGCTCCAGGGCATCCGCATTCTCAATTATCTGGACGACTGGCTCATTCTAGCCCAGTCCAGGGAGTTGGTTACCCACCACAGGGACACTGTTCTCCGCCATATTCAGTCTCTCGGCATGAGGTTGAACGTGGAGAAGAGTGTTCTTATTCCAGCTCAGCACACAGTCTTCCTGGGTGTGCACATGGATTCCGTTCGTATGCAGGCGGGTCAATGACGTGACGCTTGCTTTTTCTGTCCGACTGAACTTTTTACCAATTAATAAACATTAAAATTAAAAAAATTATAACATGTATGTCTACCACCTCCCTTATACATATGCCCACTCTTATTTCTTTAAAAACAATTGGTTTATTGGCATTTTCTGCCACCTGAAGTGTGAAAACAACATGTGGGGCGACCGTCCGGCCTTGACTTCTGTTTGGATAACTGGTTTTAAATCAAACTAAAATAATTTAAATATAATCCTTACCCTATTTGGCATAATTTTAAACTTGTTTTCCATTGATTGACAAAGTTATGAAACATTTGTACACACATTTCAATCATAATAAACAAACAAATCTTGTCCGAAGATGTTCATTATCTGAAATATCATCTGGGGCGACCATCAAGAAAATACAAATAAGGGACTTATATTCTGATAATCATCTCAAAGAGGATGTTGCATCAGCCAGCCTCATGGTGAGGGTCCCACAGAGACAACTAGCAGGTGAGTTGTCACTCTCATTTTTACAAACAAATCCTCTTTAAAACTGCTGCAGTGTATACGTCACATTTTGATATCATGTGGGGCGACCAACCTAAAACTGTAAATTATAAGTTTTATACGCAAATCTTTATTTTAAAATTTGTAAATTGTAAATTTGTCAGTGATATGTGGTGAGAAGAAGCTAACTTGGGCTCTATAGCTAAGCATTAGCCTGTTATACTTGATTAAACTTGAAAATATCATCTGGGGCGACCGAGCATCATGTGGGGCGACCGCCACTGATTGCTTAAATAATAGAAAACACATATCATGTATTTGTAGTTTCTGTATGCAAATGTTTACATTCATTATATGCATTTAGTTGTTTTAAATAACTTTTTACATTTCACCACATATTTTTTCTAAATTTCAATAATTTCCCTTCAGAGGACTAAGCTTACTTCTTTTTGATTATTATGTTTTTTATCAAAGAAATGTGTGATATTAAGCATTCATTCTACTTTTTCCAATTCTTTTTCTAACTCTGTGTATGTTTAAATATACTTTTTTTTCTAGATGGCCCCACTAACAAGCAAAGAAAAGACTGCTCGCTACAGGCAGCGGAAAATGCTGTTCAA